TTTTACGCAGGTATTGTTATTCTCTTATGGTAGAGGAACATAAATTATCAGGAAAATGGAAGAAAATCAAGGTCTTATGGGGATGTATAGTTTCATCTATTTTTTGGGTCATTTGGATGGAAAGAAACAAGAAGATTTTCTAGGACAACGAAGGCAGTATAACGGAGGATATGTGGTAACTGGAATGTGGCTATTAGTTAGTTTTGTGTTGTTTTTAGAGTTTCTTAATGTCTGGGTGATTGTGCTTTTATCTTGTTTTGTTTGTGCCCTTGTGGACTTCTTGTTTGCTTTTGTATTTTTATTGTTTCTTTGCAATAAAAATTAAAAAGTGTCACAAAATTCAACTTTAAGTACGAAAGTTTAAATTTCTCAATATTGGGGTAGTAAAGTGAGAATAACCCAAAAAAATGATAAAAAATCCTTTTCTATGTTTGGCTTAAAACTGCAATTAAAGCCACTTAGTATGATTTAGAGAACTTCTAGTGTAGGAAAGCCCCCTAGGGCAACTGCCTATTGAATCCCCTGTAATGAATAGTAACTACCTTTAATTAACAGTAATCACCTTTTGCATCTCCACCCCTAACTGAATAGCCATGGTAATATGCAATAAAATATTAGTATTTTTTATTTTATAAAATAATACAAAATAATTTTATTTGTAATTTTGGATAAAATTTTTAATCGTTCTCGTTGCGCCACATGTTATTATCCGAAAAGACAATTTTTGGTGATAGATTTCGATAAGATTTTTATCCAATGCCATCGCGCCACGTGTCGTTACCTTTTCGGAATCGTTGATGATAGATTTCCGATAAGATTTTTAACCAATCATATCACACCACGTATCACAATCTGTTTACAATCTTTGAGGATAGATTTTGATAAGATTTTTAATAAATGATGGTGTGCCACATGACATTATCTACATCTAATCCTTTCTTTTTCCTCCATATAACCCACCATCCATCCTAAGAAATCACACACCAAAATCAAAATCTCTATTCTTATTCATAGTTTCTACTTTCTTTTTACAATGTCTTCTTCAAGGATGTTGTGGGAAATCGATGAGCAAAAGAAAGAATTGTTTAACCAAGGGGAAGAAATGTTCAATCTCTAGGGGGCGAAAATGAGATGGAAGAGGATGAAGATGATAAGCGTAAGAGGAGAGATGACGAAGCAAGAAGCCAAAGAGCCTTACATTCCCATCTAGTCATCCAAGCTGTGGCTGAGATCTCCAGGCCCAACCGTTCCGCAAACATTGATAGAAGCAGGCAACGACGAGGTAAGGATCTCTTAGACGATTATTTTGTTTGTAACAGTGTATTCCCTGATACGTACTTTAAATGTCATTTTAGAATGGAACGACATTTGTTCAACAAAATCATGATTGCTGTTTGCAACCATCATTCTTACCTTGTGCAAAAGAATGATGATTTTGGTGTTATGTGTCTTTTTCCTGAGCAAAAAATTATTGCTGCCTTGCAAATGCTTGCATATAGAGCATCTGCAGACCAAGTGGAAGAGATAGCGAGGATGGGGAAATAAACCAAACTGGAGTCCCTGATTAGGTTCTGCTCCTTAGTCGAATCTATCTACACCATAGAGTACCTCCGGAGACCTACAACAATGGACTTGCAAGGGCTTCTGAAGAAGAGTGAGATGTGAGATTTTCTTGGCATGATTGGAAGCATCGACTGTATGCACTGGACCTGGAAAAATTGTCCAAGTGCATGACAAGGAGCTTATAGGGACAGAAAATAAGCAAAAAATATCATTTTGGAGGCGGTGACATCATTTGATACATGGATTTGACATGTTTTTTTTGGTGTTGTGGGAGCTCAAAATGACCTCAATGTCCTTGCCTAATCCCCAATGTTCAACGATGTCTTGCAAGGAAAAGCACCAAGAGTCACGTATTGGGTCAACGGACATAAGTACCACGGACCATACTACCTAGCAGACGACATTTACTCAAGGTGGACATCGTTTGTCAAAACAGTGCCACATTCGTGAAGTGAAAAGGAAAAGCAATTCGCAAGCTATCAAGAGGGGTGTAGAATGGATGTGGAGCGTTGTTTTAGTATCCTCCAAGCTCATTGGGCAATTATCATGGGTGCTGCTAGATTGTTTGATTTGGAGTCACTTCGATCCATCATGATGACGTGTATCATTCTTCACAACATGATTATGGAAGATGATTATGATTATGATGCCGTTGATGAATATGAGCCAGACACGATGAATAATTCCAAAACACAAATATATTGTGCTCATGACGTCACCGAATAACCCGTGCAACACGAGCCATTAGAAAGGGATAGACATTACAACGAAAGGCTCATTCAATGATATACTTCAGTTCAATCCTCATATATTCAGAAAACCCGTCAAATTGACTTGATAGAACACCAGTGGAATTGAAACATGCTTAAGAAACTTAAGTTCATTTAGTGTTTTTTTTTAATTTTAAATTTTTTATTTGGTGTCTTTATGTAATTTTATTTGGTGTGATTTTTAAGTTCATTTGGTTGGTTTTTTTATTTTTTTTTATTTGGTGTGTTTGTAATTTTATTTGGTATGTTTATGTAATTTTATTTGGTGTGTTTATGTCCTTTGAATAAAGATTCTCTTAGATTAAATAAAGTACCAAATTAAATAAATATACTCTTAGTTTGAATAAAGAACTAAATTCAATAAATTGGAAATTACATAAGGTACTCTATTCAATAAATAAGAAATTACAACCCAAATTGATTGGAAAATTATGGGCTCCGATTAAAAACAAATTCCCTAGTCCCTTGTGAATGGAAAATCATCACCTAATCAATTTGTGATGCTAGGACCATTTCCTTTTGCTCTCGCTTCTCTTGCACACCTCCTTCGCACCACGTCCGCTTTCTCCGAATTCCAAAAATATTTAGAATTCGGAGACATCGCCTCTACAGGCTCCTTCATAATGTCACAATCTTGTTGAGCCATTCTTTCCTCTTTAAGCTCTTCTCTTTCTTGCCTAAGTAGCTCTCTTTCTTTCTCATTAGCTTGAAATAATCTCTCAGCAACTGCAACTTTTGCCTCATTTCTAGCCTTATCAGCCTCAAATTTAGCCATCCTGCGCCAAAGTCAATTCACCTTGGCAAGCAAGTTCTTCCATATATTTTGCATAATCATTCTTCGAAGCACTTCCTTTTCTCTTTGAAGCCTTCTTACCTTGAGGCCTAATTGGATCTTGTTTAGGGGTCGCTTCCGGCACTTGTTCTGTGTCGCTTCATGAACATGCAAGCCATGATCGGGCGTAGAGTGTAAAGGTGTGCTGTTTATGACAACTTCTAGACCGACAGGCACAACTCTGAATTTAGGACAATCTTTGACAATATTCCAACATTCCCACAGGGTGAATGATTTATTTTTGTTTTTGGCATTATACCAAGCTTGTGCTTAAAGTGTCTACACAATGCAGGAGAAGAAATAATTATAATCAAAGTAGCTAATGTAAATTTGGGTATAGTACAAATAAATAAATAATATATAGTTACATGATCCACGAAATTTTCCCCACTTCGAATATTACTACTAGCTTGTGCCAAGGCATTTCTCCAATGAGTAAACAATTGGCTGAGTATTCTCCAACGACTGGAGAGTGATTGTTCCGTTCTTTTCCTACGAATTTTCTCAAGAAAAAGGGTATGAATATTGCTCCACATTTCTTGCAACTGCATCTCATTACCCGTAATTGGATCATGAGTAACTTCGACCCAGCTAAAACACAACGTAACATCTTCAATAAGCATCCAATTCGTATCTGCATCATTAGCCATTTTGTTAGAAACAAAAGTACATAGAAATTTTGAGAGAAAGATTGGAATGTGGTTGAAAGTACTTGAGAAAATATAAAATTGTAGTGTAAGGTAGAAGATAATAAGAATGTATTTATAGAAAAGTAAAATCATTTTTTTTAATTTAAAAAAAAAATTCGGATTTTTAATTAACTTAATTAATTTTTGTTGTTGGATTAAAAAAAAATTGAAATCCAACCCTCCAAATTGTGCCACGTGGCACAACGATAACATATGTGATTTTTTTTCCTATTTTTCTTTTTTCTTTTTTAATTTTTAAAGGCGAATAGGGTGGACTGTTGATCTGGAATTCAACGGCTAATATTGTGCCACATCATCTAGCCATTGGGGGAGGTTTGAAGATTTTTTTGATCGTTGGAAATCCAACGGTCCAAAAAAAAAATATCCATTGAAATCCAAAGGCCGAGAAGGTGCCATAAGCCCCCAGAAACGGTAACATTTCAGAAATCAAACTGTAGGCCCCATTGACTGAAAAGTTGTCGGTGACGTGCCCCTATGCGCACGTGCTATGCACGCGCCTGACGCCAATGTTGTTGTAACATGGTTGACGTTAGCCTTGCATCAGTGCGCCCTCAGGCGCTTGGGCCTTTGATTCATGCCTTCCCTCTCACACGAGCCCCCCTTAGCCCAATCGCCCACATGGGCTAAAGCAAGGAAGGGAGGCAATTGGATTGAAAAGATCCCTGGTCCACCGGGCATTTCCTGCCACTGGACTTGCTCTTAGTGGTAATCTTTTGCGCTTGCAAGTGAGAGGTCTTAAATTCGAATCTCATGGATGATAAGTTCACAACTAATTTACTTGCACTCCCTTTAATATAAATATATCGGTTGTATCAAAAAAATCTGCCATTAAAGAATTATACTACTTTGGCATAATTTGTATCGACAGTCATTGACCCCATCATATATATAAAACAAAATGCTAAGTGCCTGCAAATAATCAAATTCGTTTTGACGATGTCAACGTATCTATGATAATCTGCGCCAGTACTAATATAGACTAATTAAGCTTACAATTGCCGAAACTTGTACACAATGCTCGTAACATTTAGTTCTATAAATTGAGACACTTCAGGACCCCCAATATTGTATCGATCTCCTTCTTTACAAGAAGAACACAATTATTTAAGAGAGGGGAGTTGAAAAATGAGTATAAGCATGGATGTGAATGTGATGTTTCTAATCGTCATCGCAGTGGCAGCAACAGAAGCGACGTTACGTAGCGCAGAAGCTGCAGAATATGTAGTAGGAGACGACTTAGGCTGGACTATCCCTCCGGATGGCGCTGCCACTTATGCTGCATGGGCTTCTAACCATAGCTTGTTTGTTGGTGACATTCTTGGTAATCAACTACTGTGAAATTTTTCTTACTTTACGTTCTGTCTTTTCATTGTAGTTCGAAAATTTGTATTGGAATTTCATGGATCATATGCATAAGAAAATATTCTCGACAGTAGCGTAGAAATGTCACTATGTGTACACATGCATGTAGCTATATTGCCTTGAGTAGTGACCTCTTATGCACTCAAATTTGGAATCTCCTTCTCATAGTTTAGATAAGAATATCGTTTCTCTCAGCATAAAAGAAAAAATTGTAGAAAAGCCACTCCCCTTTTTTCTCTTCTGCATCCTAATTTTCATTCTATAACTTTCATTAGCATTTGTATTTATAGGATGAATTCGCATTGAATGCAAAGACAATCCAATGGCTTGATTTTGATCTATACTCTATGGTAGGTGCTGATTTCTACATGGTTGTGTTGGCTTTGCAGTGTTTAAGTTTGCAGCAGGAGAACAAGACTTGGCATTCGTAACCAAGGAAGATTTGGGCACTTGTAACACCGCAGATCCCTTGCATGTATTTGAGAATGCAACCACAATAAAATTTCTTGGAACCGACACATATTATGTAACGTCAACTTTTGCCGGGCACTGCAGCAAAGGGCAAAAGATGACTTTTGACATCGCTCCCTCTTCAACCACCAGTACCATTTCACTAGCCAGTCCAAGTCCGAGTCCAAGTGCGGATAAAAAGCCCCTCCAGCAGTCTCTCAACTTTGTGTCTCAGATCTCCGGGCTGGTTTTCTAGTTTGTTTCTCCTTGTGCCTCGTCATAAGATCCTAGCACGTTTATTAACTCCATTGAGAAAGATTCAAAGAGCAATAAGGAATGGAGAAAAACAAGGAACTTGAGAGAGAAACAACGGAGAGAAAGAGAGAGAGAGTAAACTGTATGAATTGTATTTCAAACTTAATGAATTGGATCCTCACAATTACAAAGCTTTTACACACATATATCTAGCTTAAAACTTCCTTCTTACACTTCTAAGAGACTAACCTTTTTTAACAACCTAACAACTTTAGTATGACATGACATCCTCACTAACTAACCAATGTTAAGCTGCCATTTATTGATACTTTACAATGTCATGCCAATATCTTTTACGAGGATCCGTTTATTGACAAAAAAAATAAATACCATGTACGTTGTGTGTGACTGTGAACTAGAAATCAAAATTAATGCACGTTTTAATACTTGGATTGTGCACCTTTTATTTATCAAATGAATTTTTGTTTCAAATTGAACTGATCTAATCAACTAGATCTATTAATTTCATCTTCGATAATTAAAGTCAGTTATTAGCTCTTGGTATAAGAATTTATAAATTACTCTTTCATGATCGTGCAATAAAGATAGGTCTTGTCGTGAAGCTGTTACACATGCATGCAAGATGCAACCAAAAGAATGCTACAATTATTCTTGGGAGAAATAAGAAAAACACGAAAGCGGAATTCAAGTGGTTTGAGTCATTGATTCGTGTGAAGTAGATTGTTACCCCGAAAGTATAGAAGCAGAAAACCGATGGATCGATAGGGATGAAAGGCTAAATACCGGAAGTAAACTTAAAGAGAGCAGGAAATGATGGATGAAGCACTGACCAAATTTACCAAGCCTGATCTTTTGGAGACTCGATAGAACTTTGGAAGATCCATACCCATTCAATTGACGGCTCTTGGATAACACATGTGGCAAGAGGATTACGATAATATGCGTATGTGCTCATGCCCACATCAATGTCGTCTTAAGGGCTGTTTGCGATTATTGTGCTAATTTAAAAATAATCAATTGTAAATTAAAACAGCTGAATCTTTGATAAATTATATTTTAAAAGTGTCGTGAGTATGAAAACAAGTGTAAAACCGTTAGGTACATTCTAAGATTAGTAATATTATTGTACATAATGACAAAAATAGACATGGTAGTGGTGGGTGACTACGATAGTTGTGGTTGCGGCAGTGGTTGCATTTGTGGCGGTAGTGGTAGAGGCGTTGTTGGCGGTGGCGGTTGAAACATTAATAGTGGTGATGTCGACAGTGGTATAAGGTTGGTGGTTGCAGTTGTAGATGATACATATGGCAGACGTGATGGAGGCGGTGGGGGCAACTTTTGTGATGGCAGCAGCAATGGTAGGAGTTTAGTGGGTGCCAATAGTGGTGTTAGGGGTGGCGACATAGGCAGTAGTGGTAGCGTTTGTGGTTGTGCTGGCGGTGGTTGTCGACAACGATGGTAGTGGCAATGACAGTAGTGGAGATTGTTATGGTGGCAGTAGTAACAATTGTGGTTGTGGTGGTGGTGGTGGTTGCTGTGGTAGTTGTGGTGGTGACGACTATGGTGGCAACGATGATGCCAACGATGGTGGTGTAAGGTTAGTGGTTGTAGTGGTAGATAGTGGTAAGTAGTTACGGTCACTCTGCTCTCAAATGGATAAAATGCGTGTTAAAGAATAAATAATGTCATCTTAAAAAACTAATGAAGGTATTACATGATTAAAATTATTCTTTAATGGATTAATGGCTCAACTCCACTTTTTATAAAGCAACATGATGTCTGAAGACCACTGTTCTTCTTGTTCTTGTTCTTGTTTTTGTTCTCCTTCTTCTCACTTAGCTCTTTGAACACCGGATTCTTGGACGTCGTAAACACTTCGTCTCCATAATAAGGGTACATATATAACCAGAGTTCTTGGTATGGGATTTTGGCGACCATGTTGGACGGATAAAAAGCGGCCAATGAAACGAGGTTTGGAGATGACTTGGAGCCAACGCTTGGAAACACACTTGCATTGAACAATCAATATTTTGCAAGGAACTCGACAGAGGATTTCAACGAAATTAGGTCACCGTGTAAATGGTCAGGAAGATTGTCAATGAAATTAGGTTCGGGTTGGCCTCTTGGAAGCTGATCTCCTAAACCCTATCCGGTACAGAGGGATGGAAGAGAGTTTGGTTTATGTGTCTTGTGACTAGCCTACATATTTTTAAGAAGAAAGCTACACACTCAGTATTATGGTCTAATGGTATTCCTCTTCACTTAAAAATGAGAGGTTTTAGGTTCGAATCTTGTAAATGCAAATTTGATACCAAATTATTGTTCATTGTGTGGCTTAGCCAAACTTCTCATCCTATTATGTAAAAATATATCGATGTATTCATAAAAAGAAGAAAGGAAACAGTAAGAGGAAATCAACTAGGAGATAACATTCCGATTTATTAGAGGAAATTGATCACCTAAACTAAAACCGGAAAGTAAATAATATTGTAAAAAATGGATCACAAAAACTAGATCAATAAATATCTTTTCTCACCCCAGCATCAACGTTCAGCAGAAACCTACTGAAACAATGGGCATTCGGGGGACATCTGCCAAACCCATCAAAATCGAATGTTTTCACTCTATCTCAACTCCAAACCTTACATTATCGATCCAAAAAGTACATTTGTACGCAACCCAATCTCTAAACAAATGGATATGAATTTAAATCCAAGTTTTGTGATGTACTATCTCAAAACTAAACTACCAATCGCTTGAGGAAATCAATGAAATCAAGGGCAGGAGGGATGAATTAGAGCAACTTACATGTTCGGTAGCTTTGTCCCTAAATTATTGACCCAAAATTCTCGACATTGTTGATATGTTCCACTTTAGGGATGTAAAATCACTACCAGCACCAGCTCAGAGTTCTCTTACTTTTGGTTTGTCTTGCTGCTACATATATTAATCCTTGGCATTACTTCTTTGATTATCTTTGCTTGTTTCACAGAGTAAGGGCTTTCATGTCTTTCATTACATGGTTTTAGAATTTCGGTCGGTAATTTGGTAGGAGTCCTTTTTAGCAAACATAATGCAGCGGTGAAAACATTTTGTTTTCAGTATGAGGGGACCAGTCATCTGTATTTTTTGCTACACTGCTGCTATCAACATTCGTTGAAAGACGAAGTTCTGGATTTGGATACGATCAGATTCTATTATGGTAGACCGGATTGACCATGTTAAGAGATCACGAGACAATTGATGCAACACTAAACGCTTATTTATCATTACAAAAAAGACATACATTGACAATGGGCACCCAAATGAATGCAAGTACTAAGTACTGTAGTTTTTTTCAATGTTTGTTCCTTATTTTGCAATTGAGCTTCCTGTAGAGATGCGAAAACAATAATCTACAGGCTTCAAGGTTGGAAAATACTTTCACCAATTGCGAAAACATGAAAAGTGATTCCAACTACCAGTCCCAAGGTTTTGGCAAATTGCTGATGGGGCAGGACAGCCATAATCCCGGTTGTGAATGCTATTGCAGTAGACTGCAGAGCAATATATGTAAGAGCACCAGCACCTGTTAAGTAGTAAATATACACCGACTCATTGCCGTTAACAGCTCCCCCAAATAAAAGGTGTAAACACGAATTTTTCCTGAAACCAGAGAGACAAGAATACGTGTACAAAATATATTTTTGTATTAATGATTTTGGGGTTACAATCTCTTTGTAATTTGGTCCTCTGATTCTATCTTCGTAGGGTGTGGGTTTGTGGATGAGTTGTTGATCCAAAGGGCCGTCGGGGCTTGATCTAAGGATGCACAGCTGATGAATGGATCTTCAAGGGGCGTTGGGCTTGATCTTGAAGGTTGATGGATGAACGGATCTTCAAGGGCTTTTGGGCTTAATCTTGAAGGATGAACGGATGTGTGGATTTGTTGAGGTTGTTGATCCAAAGGGGCCGTTGGGGCTTGATCTTAGGATGAACGGATCTTCAAGGGCTTCTGGGCTTAATCTTGAAGGATGAACGGATGTGTGGATTTGTTGAGGTTGTTGATCCAAAGGGGCCGTTGGGGCTTGATCTTATGATGAACGGATCTTCAAGGGCTTCTGGGCTTAATCTTGAAGGATGAACGGATGATGAACGATGAACACTTTCTTCAATGGGCCGTCGGGGCTTGATCTTGAGTTGGTGGAAGTTCTTCAAGGGCGTTGGGGCTTGATCTTGAAGGTTGATGGATGATGAACGATGAACGAAAAGTGCTTTCTTGATTCTTCGGGGTTTGCTTGAGAGCTTTAGAGTTTCAAGGCTTCTTTCTTTCTTCCTTCCTCTCCCTTCTTTTCCTTTCTCCTTCTCCTTCCTTCTTCCTCCTAAATGAATGCATTGGCCTCCTATTTATAGAATTTCAAAACTTGATTTTTGGATTTAAATAATCAGATGAAATAAATCATTTCTGCCAGGTATTGACACGTGTCATATTTGATGACTTTTCCAATTTATTTCGATTTTTTCGTTGAATCACATGCTACATATAAAATTTATGTGACACGTGAACATTGAAAATTTTAATTATTGGTCAACATTCATTTCACCGAAATTTTGATGTCTACAAATGCCCCCACTTCAAGGCGCGTCGTAGACATGTGCTTGTCACGTGTGGAAGATGCGTTTTGAAGTCCCTTAATGTAGATGTCAACCCAAGGGCCGTCGAGGCTTGATCTTGAATTGGGCTGGAAATTTCTTCAAGGACCATCGAGGCTTGATCTTGAGCTTGACTGGAAGATTTTCTGGTTTCCTCCAATCGTTGATTTTCCGCAGGCTTAATCTTGAACTGGGCTGGAGGATTCTTTTGGTCTCCTCCGAAGGTCTGGACTTACTCCTTTTATCTGGAGTTGAATTTGATTCAAGGGTGGTGAACACTTGATTTTGAATCGGACTTGTGATTTCTTCAAGGGCCGTCGAGGCTTGATCTTGAACTGGGCTGGAGGA